GACGACAATGTCACTGGAAAGAAGACAAAGATGATTGAAGAGCCGTGGGAGATGGTGCAAGATCGAAGTAATACAAGCCACCTACTTGATGTCCCGTACCAATCCTTTTCTTCGTCTTGAGATCCTGAAAAAGACAACATGTGGGATAAAATGTAATGGAACAGTTAAGAGATTTAATTAGCTTACTAATGGACAACAAATTAAAAGGGAATTGAGGAACATATAATACAAAGGAAAGGGATATAGAAGAGGTAAGATGAATAGTTCCCAAACCCAAAACTTTAGTTGATGATCCATTAGCAAGAGTAACACTTTGAGAGGAAGGAACGGACTGAAAATGAGATAAGATATGAGAACTACCAGTCATGTGATCGGATGTGCTAGAGTCAAGAATTCAAGGACTCTGACTAGAGGACAAAAGACATGTAGGCAAAGAACCCCATGAAGGATGAGGTGGAAGTCTGTTGTTGAGACAGAAACTGAGCATACTCATCTTGGGGAATCGTGACCATAACAGTCTCAACAGCCACATGTGGATCAATGGGTGTGACAGAGAAAGAAGAATCCTCATCATTAGAAGTCACTTGATGTGTATAGGAAGAAGGTGGTGGTTTCCCATGAAGATCCCAACAGTAATTGACATTGTGATTAATAAGACCGCAGTAAGTGCAAAGTTTTGAGTCTCTGCCTCTGCCATGACCACGACCACGGCCACGACTACGAGTAAAACGACCACCATCGCCACGAGAAGACTGAAAACCAACCTGGTTCACAACTAAGGCAGAACGTTCACTGCTAGGAGGAGCAGTGACACCACTTGAAGCACCCCCTGAAGCACCACTAGATAAAGTAGCACGCTGGGGTCTGGATAACATATCAGGAAGAGAGGGAAGTGCAGGGCTACCCAAAATCTGTGCACGAATAGGTTCATACTCATGATAACCATGTGAGAACCCGAACAACATTAAAATCCTCACGTTGTTGTTACATGCTTTTCACATCAGAGGTGATGGGTTGATACAAGTTCATTTCTTCACAAAGTCCCATTGCTCGTGAGAGGTATTCTTCTAAACTGTGAGTCCCTTGCTGGAGGTCAAAAAATTGTCGACACACCTCATAAATTCTGGTTATATTACCAGTACCTGAATATAACTGTTGGAGTCGGGTCCATATCTCCTTGGCAGTGTCTAGATATAGCAAGTTGGAGCTAATATGAGGTTCAATACAATTCAGCATTAAGGAGATGATCTGAGCATCCCTTTGTTCCCATGAACTGAAATCAGCATCACTGTCTTTGGGTTTATCCTTAACCAAATGAGTGCCAAAGCCTTTGGCTTTTAGGAAAATGGCTACTGACTTGGCCCATAAAATGTAATTTTTGCTATTAAGCTTGACTGAAGTCATGGGAGGATTGAAGGAGGTAGAAGATAATAGGTTTGAACTCGTAGCCATGGAGAAGATAACAAAAAAAACGAACCTGGAAAAAATTGCAGAATCGGGCCGGATCTGGGCAATCGGGCTGGATCTGGGCAATCGGGCCGGATCAAAACCAGCTCTCTACTATCTCGGTTTTAGTAAACCAGGGTTGGAATAGCATAACCACGTAGCCCAACACGACTGTTCTTCTTCACCCACTGACAGACGTCGGCAAGCATACAGCGGCGAACCTCTGCAACTTCTGACCAAGAAAAAAGACGAATCGATGAAGCCTCACCTCTGCAAATAACGATGGTGGATGTCGGCAAGCTTGCTGACAACCAAAGCGGCAACGACACGAGCGGCCAAAGGGGCTTCAGATCTAACGACGAAGGAGGCTTCAGATCTGACGACGACGGCGACGAATGATGCTCTCAACCTGCCGACGACCAGAACTTCCGGCAAAAACACCAACAACACACTTGCGATTCTGATCGCGATTCCAATCTCATACAAGGACAATACAATTGTCGTTTCCCACACCCATGAATTCATATAGCTCTGATACCATGTTCAAATTCATGAGAGAAAGAGAGAGAGAGAGAGAGAGAGAATTTTGTGTCACTGTATTGTATTTCACCCTTTAGCCAAATGAGGCTTATATAAAGGAATAGAGTTATAACCTAATTACACAATGCTACTTAATTACACAATAATCCTAACTACTATGGGTAATTACATAATGACCCAACATAAGTATATATATACATAAACATTCTAACGGAGGTGAAGCATGCGGTGGTGGCAGATATGGGAGAGCTAGTTGGGATGTGAGATTTCGCAGAAATTTTAACGATTAGGAGTTGGTGGAGTTAACTGATTTAATGGGATTAATTTATTGTCAAGTGGTGGAGGGGGAAGGAAGGGATGAGATGGTGTGGAAGGGGGATTCTAGAGGGGTGTTTAAGGTGAGGCTGTTTTATAAAAGTCTTATGATTCTGAAAAGTAATGAGTTTCCTTGGAAGGCTGTTTGGAGGACTTCAGCTCCACTAAAGGTGGCTTTTTTCACGTGGACAACGGCGCTTGGCAGTTCTCACTTTGGATAATCTCTGAAAAAGACGCCGAATAACAATTAATTGGTGTTGTATGTGTAAGATGGCGGGTGAATCGGTTAACCATCTCTTGTTACATTGTAGGGTGGCAGCGGATGTTTGGAGTATGTTGCTGATTATTTTTGGGGCGGAATGGGTAGTGTCCAGTAACATGTTGGATATGTTAGAAGCTTGGAGAGGGAGTAGGGTGGATAGTCGGATTAGGAAGGCGTGGAGGGTTGCACCTCTTTGTACTTGGTGGGGGTCGTGGAATGAGAGGAATAGGAGATCTTTTGAAGGCCAGGAGTTGTCTGTGTGGGTTATCAAGGCGAATATTCTTCATTATCTTTATTCTTGGGTTAATGGGATAAATTGCCCATCTGTAGATAGTTTATTGGATTTTGTTGACAACTTATTGTTGTATTGACGTGTTTACATTCTTTTATTTTATTTTTTGTTAATGGTTCACTCCTCTCTGAGTGCGTTTTTGTTAATATATCGTTAACTTATCAAAAGAAAATGAGGAGGTTTACATGGATCAACCACCTGGTTATGTTGTTGATGGTAGTGAGCACCTTGTTTGTGGACTGCGGAAGGCTCTCTATGGCCTAAAACAGTCCCCACGTGCTTGGTTTGATAGATTTAGTGCTATGGTGATTGAGTTTGGTTTTCAGCGCTCTACTTCTGATCATTTCATCTTTATTCATCACTCTTCTGCTGGTAAGATTGTTTTGATTGTTTATGTCGATGATATTATTATATCTGGAAGCGATTCAACAAGCATTGTAGAATTGAAATGATATCTGGGTTAACATTTCCATACTAAAGACTAAGGCGCTCTTTGCTATTTTTTTGGGATTGAAGTTGCTTGTTCTCGTCAAGGCATCTCCTTGTCTCAACGGAAATTTGTTCTTGATCTTTTGGCTGAGATCAGTCTTTTAGGTGCTCGACCGGCTGATACTCCTATGGACTCTATAGTCAAACTTGATGGTGAACATGGGGAGTTGTTTGCCGATATTGGCTGATATCGGTGCCTAGTTGGGAAATTGATCTATCTTACTATTACTCACCTGGATATTACTTATGCTGTTGGTGTGGTCAGTCAACATATGTATGCCCCTCGCCGACCTCACTTTGAGGCTGTTTGTCGTATTCTGTGTTATTTGAAGGGTGCACCTGGTAATGGATTGTTGTATAAGCCTTCTTCTTCTTTATCTGTAATAGGTTTTAGTGATGCTGATTGGCTACATCTGGTTGTTGCACCTTTGTTGGTGGTAATCTTGTTACTTGGCACAGTAAAAAGCAGACGGTAGTTGCTCGTTCTAGTGCGGAGGCTGAATATCGTGCCATGGCTCACACCGCCTCTGAGATGTTATGGGTTCGCTCTCTTCTCCAGGATATGGGTATTAATGTTCCTACTCTATGTCGATGCATTGTGATTACCAGCCTACTATCTTCATTGCTAGCAATCCTGTGTTTCATGAGCGTACCAAGCATATAGAGGTGGATTGTTATTTTATTCGAGATTTTTTTTTTTTTTGATAAGTTATTTTATTCGAGATTTGTTGATGCGGAAACAAATTGTTACTCCATATATTTGCTCTAAGGATTAGCTAGGTGATATTCTTACGAAGCCGTTGCCTCGTGGTGCATTTCAACGGTTGTGCTTCAAGCTGGGCATGTTTAATCTTTATGCTCCAGCTAGAGGGGGAGTGTTAGATGTAATTATTGTAGTAATGAGTAATGATCATGGGTATTATTGTACTTCTGCTCATCTTAATAATATATAAGCTTGTAATTCCTAAAGCTTCAAGGATTTCAACACTACATCAAGTTTCACACAACAAACCAACAATCAGACACTACTAGTCATTGGAATCAAATCACAGGTTGAAGAGTGGATTACTTGAGGAGTGGATTCGTTGACTGATAGAAGCATAGATCGGATTGGATCGTATGACGTGAGTCTGGGTTAGAGGTAACAGGGGATTCTTGGGTTTAGAATTTGGTTACTCTAGTGTGTAATACTTTTCTTCTGTTAGTGGATTTGATTTGCCTCGACTAGGTCCTCTTTGTGGGGGTTTCCCACTTAAAAATTGGTGTTCGTGTGTGTGGATGAATTTTTTCCTTATGGTGTGTGTATTTTGCTCTTTATATTTCTGCACTCTATCTATTTTTACATGCTTTTCGATTGATAGTTAAATTTCAGTTAATTGTGATAGTTGAAATTTAAAAATTGATTAAAGTTTGTTGTTTTGTTTACAAGACCAATTCACCTTCCCTCTAGGTCTAGTTAGGCATAGCCTACTCTAACATCAGAGCCTACGGCTAATCCTTCAAGCACCAGGCACAAACTTCAAATTCTCCAGTACAGTGAGCTTTTCCAAAAAGTCAATAAATCTTCAAAAGATGGAGAAACTATGTGTAGATTGAGTTGAAATTGAATATTGTAGAGGCGCATTTCATCATAATATATAAAAAAACACATCTTACAGTTCTTATTTGTGTATCAATTTGAGGGGGTAGCCGCAACCAAGCTGAGAATATCACAGATTCCTCTACAGTAATTTGGGGAGAATGAATATCAGTCTGCTCGCAGTACCCTGATATCCTAGCAAATGTTTCTTGGACCTTGGGAAATCCTCCAATTCTGATATCTCCTTCTGTAGAACCACTAATTTTCCTTCCAGCAAGTACATCCATGAGAGTTGTTTTTCCAGCTCCGCTTACACCCATCAAAGCTGTAAGAATTCCTGGCCTGAATGCTCCTGTCATGTCATGAAGAAGCTGGAGTCTTCTATCTGTGAATCCTTGTCTTCTCATTTCCTGCGTCAAAACAAATGCATCAGAAACAGTGACCAACAAATGGTATCTTTAACTCATGAGAGTCTAACATGAAAATGAATAATTACCAGTGGAGTATCAACAAAATACTGAACACGTTCAAATGTTAATGTCATAGGCTCGAAGGGTAAGACCATCCTTGCTGCATCTTCAGATATTGAAGTTGTAACAAAAACTGATTAGCTTTCCTTTTTGAGTCCATATTGTTTGTCATCTTTTTATAAGAAATAGGTTGAATACAGGGAAGTATCATCTCACCCGCATTTCCTGTATAATGTAATGCGTGTGTTTTTGAAGGTGGTTCTTTATCCTTGTGTGTCTCATCTTTGCAATCTTCATCTTGTTGCAGCTGGCAGAGTTTTTCATAAGAAATAATTGCCCGGGATGTTGCTGGAGCTAATTTCATACAAATTTTTATTGCGGGTCAGCAGTCTTCATTCTCAATCTATAAACAGAGATGAATACGAAGCAGAGGCAAACTTACACTTAAGGTATGTCAAAGCTAAGGTAAATCCAATATTGAAAACTATTGCGAATCCAAACAGTGCACCCAGTGATATCCAATAGAAGTAAGCTTTAAAGTTCACCCCATGGCGTGACAGAGTTTCTTGTCCAACAGTCAAGTTTCCTGATGTGACCTATAAACAGTAGTAGTTGTAGTTGACGAACAATAAATTTAACATTTGTTTTAGTTTTGTTAACAAAGGACTATAGTATTCTGTGGATAAATTCTGACCTTTTCCCATCTTGGAGCTAGGAATTCGTTTATGGACACTCCTATTTCTGCATATGACAATGGACAAGTCCAAAAACCCCACCACAACCAAGGTGGCAAAGAAGCTGTCAAGTTTAAGATTATATTGATCAGAAAACGATTCATATGGCTCCAACAGAAATTAGTGAAGGAAGTTTCAGACGTCCTTACATTGTGGAATAATGAATCCGCCAAGCAACAGCATAAAAAGTATGGAGATGTTACAGCTAAATATTGCAGCCATCTCAGTTTGACAAATTGATGCAAGGAAACGAAAGAGGGCTATTGATGCTTGATGTAGAGCGAAAAACAGAAGGAATTGGCACAAAAACCTAGAAACAACATTAAATTGAAAGAACTTTAGGCAATGTGATTTATGTTGGCGAATTTCATGCCAAGAGCTGGAAGTCTGTAATTTTATTTTATTTTTAGATAGATTTTGAATGTTAGTTAGAGAGTGAATTGGTTACCTCTTGTCTAAGGGCATATTCAAGAAAGCAAATCTACATTCAAGGGAAAAATTAAGGTTCATGCATTCATCAACTAGGATTTCATAGTTTCTTTGTTTGATTCATAAAATCCCTTTTTGATATGCATTAAAGTGTTTTTGGAAACTGCTTAGAATAAAATCCTGGTTTGAAGTAGCACAAGGCACTTCAATCAATCAAAGAATCAGTCCAAGGTCACTGGACAACTGTCGGCTTGTCTCGGTCATTTACAATATACGAAAATCAGTTTCCTTTTCAAGACAAATCTCTTAAATCCCCAACTGTTTTATAATGTTAAACTCTATATAAAGACCTCTTGTGCTGAGGCAAGTGTTTTATAACGTTAAACTCTATAAAAACCTCTTGTGCTCAGGAAAAACTAAACAAGCATAATATTTTTTCTCTCTGAGCATAACTTAGAATTAGAGCATATAGCGTGAGTTGAGAGTGAATTTTAGCAGATTTTTGCTAGACTATTGGTTTATTTCATCTATCCAAAAAGTTTGGTGAGTTTGCATGTAAGGTGTTGATCGTCCATTATTACTGAGCTTACACTGTACTCGGTACCAAAGAAGATACTTGGATTGGATGACTAGTCATGGAGATCAAAGTGCTTGTGGAGAAGAAAATCAAGTGAAGCGTGGATCTGTTGAAAGAGGAGTTGAATGGCTTCGAGACTTAAGTGAAGTTTGGTATCAGTCTGTCAAGAGGTAATTAGGTTTTTTTCTAGGAATTGGGAAAACCGATTAACCTAATTGTAATACTTCTTTCATTAGTTGATTTGATCTGTGTATCAGGTCCCGTGGTTTCCCCCCTGAGGTTTTCACTCGAAAAACTGTCCATTGTGTTGTTTTTACCTTACTTCATTGTTTTTGTGATTTGTGAGATGATGGATTGAGTTATTAGTTTGGCAGTTAAGATTAACTATTTAAATTTCTATTAGTTTAGGTAAATTTAAAAGTTAGTTAAAAGATTCAATTAATTAACCTAGAAAGACCTTTTCACCCCCCTTCCCCTTCTAGGTCTGGATCACGGCCTTGCGCTACCCTCTGGCGGAGCTTAGGGTTAAAATCCTATATCCCTCAAACTTAATTAGCTTTGTGTGCGTGTTTGGAGGGAGAAAGTGCAATTAGGTGATCTTTTCTTTCTCACCTTTCTACTTCTGGGCTATATCCTATGACATAGTATGTAAGAGCTGTCCAAGTAAAGGACTCCACCAGGGAAAAGGGGATCTTCAGTAGAGAAGCTGGAATTGCATAAGCCCATGCAGGATAGAAGTTAAAATCCCTCTGTTTGTAAAAAACCGCAAGTCTAGAGACAGTCATAAACAATTCTTCAACTCCATTGGTCAGGATTCTGATAATCCCATAAAACAAAGAGCCCATAAAATAATTTGAATGCTTCAAGTCCACATCCATCCTGGTACGCAGATATACTGTCATTGTTATGAGTGCAACAATCACGAGCTGCAATAGGGGAAAAAAGAACGCTTGCATAAGGATTCATTCCTGTAAGTAAGTAGCTAACAAATGGAATACCCAAGACTAAATCTGAAAACTAAATTACCTGTGCTAATTTGAATACGTGAACAGATGAATTTCGTCTCATAAGTAGAACTTCTCTGTCAATGCAAGCTTTGAACAACTCCCATCTGGTCACAGAGTATTTGCTGTCATTGCTAGGGGAAAGGAAAATCTGCTGGGACTGGAAATTGTCAAATGTCTTTGAAAGTTCCTCATCTAGCCTTTGTCCAATATGAGATGCCTTAAATTTTTCAGAGAATTCATCCACTGTAATATATCTATAAGGCAACTCAATACTGTACCAATAATGTTCCTGGTCCTTAATGGAGATTACCTGTGCATATTGTAGCTGGGCATGTGAAATAAGGTAAATCTGAAGAAGAAAAAGAATGTACGATATTTGATGTATGTACCTCTTGAAGAAATTCAGCAACACCCTTTCTTTCTGGGCACCTGAAACCGCAATCCTCAAAAAACTTTAGAATATCGGCTCGAGGGCCATGGTATACTATTTTTCCTTCCGCAAATAAGATAATGTCATCAAAGAGATCAAAGGTTTCTGGTGCTGGCTGAAGAAGTGAGATCAATGCAGTAACATCTGTGACGTGCACTAATTGCTGAAGACAAGTTACAATTTGAAAGGTAGTGGAGCTATCCAAGCCATTTGAGATTTCATCCATAAAAAATGCTCTTTTTGGACTGACAATCATCTCTCCTACCATAGGAAATACACAATTGGAACTTAAGCCTAGGTAAGGAGAAAACAACTGAAATATATGATGGAAAATAAGCTGAGAAATCTTGCAAATGATGATTAATGTGAAACTAAAATTCAGTATATATTGCTGTTTGTAGAAGGGCTTTAGGACCTGATGGTGTTTCTATTGAGGTTTGGAAGTGTCTAGGAGAAGTTGACTTGTCTTGGTTAACAAAATTGTTTAATAAGATAATAACAACTGAGAAGATGTATGGTGAGCCGTGCAGGCAATTCTATTGAGGTTTTGAAGTTCTAGGAGAAGTTGGCTTGCGTTGGTTAACAAAATTGTTTAATAAGATAATAACAACCAAGAGTATTATAATGGCTGTAGATAAAAATAAAGGGGATTTACAAAGTTGTAATAATTATTGTGGCACTAAATTAATTAGTCACACTCTGAAACTTTGGGAGAGAGTGATTAAAAAATGCCTAATACGAGAGACTGAAGTGTTGGAAATCAATTTTGATTCATTGTGGGAAGGTCAACGATGAAGGCTATTTACTTGTTGAGGAGACTAATGGAAAGAATAGAGAGAAGAGAGATCTAATATGGAGGGTTTTAGAAAAGAAAGGAATCACAAAGAAATTTATTGACGCAACAAAAGACATGTATGATGGTTAAGTATAGTTAGACACCTGTAGGGGAAACAAGTGAATTCCCAATTACTGTTGGCTTACCTCAAGGGTCAGCATTAAGCCCATACTTTTTTGCCTCGGTTATAAGGGAGTTGACAAGATACATCCAAGATGATATTCCATGATGTGTTACTTGCTGATGATATTGTTTTAGTCAATGAGATTAGAGGAGTTAATGCCAAATTTTGGAGGTTTAGAGAAGCATTAGAATTAAAAGAGTTTAGGCATGCTTCCGGATTGCTGCTGATAGGCATGCCTTGATGGCCGACTGTTATCAGCTTGATAGCAGGAGGACTACCTGGGATGTGCGTTTTTCGAGGGATTTTCAGGATTGGGAGTTGGAGGATGCCCTGGCTATTTTGGAGATGTCGTATTGCCAGGAGGTGGATTGTGGTGTAGTTGATTCTAGAGTGTGGGTGCTCTCTTCTCATGGGAGGTTTGATGTGCGTTCTTTCGATAGAGCTCTCTGATCTCCCGGCGGTTGCTTTCCCTTGAAAAGTTGTGTGGTGCACAAAAGCACCCCTCATGGCCTTTTTTGCTTCGATGACAAATCTGGAAGGATCCTGACTTGGACAATCTGAGGAGGAGGGGACATGTTATTGTCAATTGGTGTAGCATGTGCAAGCGGGATGAAGAGTCGGTCCGGTATAGGCTACAGAAGCCCCTAGTAGTTTACCTTTTAAATTAATAAGTCGGGTTGATCATCTCTTGCTGCATTATCTTGTGGCTAGGGAAAGCTGGGGCTTGCTTTTTTGCTTTGTTTGGCGTCCAGTGGGTTATTCCCCCGTCTTTGTTAGGCATGATTGAGGCTTGGAGGCAGTGTATAGTGGGTCCCCAAGCCTGTGATTTTTGGAGAGTGGTGCCCTTGTGTGTTTGGTGGTGCTTGTGGAAGGAAAGGAACAAGAGATCCTTTGATGGGGAGGAGACTCCTCTCGGGGCGCCGAAGTTCACTATTTTTAGTTCTCTTTTTTGTTGAGTTTCTTGTAAAAATTGTAAATCCCTGGGGAGAGAGTTGATTTTTTGGACATATTGAGAGGCTAAGGGCCCTATTTGGTCCTTGATTGTTTTTGTGGGCTGCGTTCCCCTTTTGAACTCTTTTTAATTCAATCTTACTTATAAAAAATAAGATAAAATAAAATAAAAGAGTTTAGGATAAGTATAAATAAAAACTGAATACATGGAGTGTAACTTTAGTAAATCTAAAAATACACATGAGAATGTAGTTCGGATTGAGAATCAAGAGGTTAAAAAACTGAACATTTTCGTTATTTAGGCTCCAATTATTCATAGTGAAGGAGAAATTTGAGATGACATTAATCATAGAATCAAGATAGGATGGGTTAAATGGAAGAGTGCATCGAGTGCATTGTGTGATAGGTGTATCACGTTATGATTGGGTGGGAAGTTCAATTGAATAAGCACGTGCATTAGGTGAGTGTAGAGAAAATAGAATATTGAGACAGATGTGCGGTAAGACTAGAAATGATAGAACTAGAAATGATCACATTCGGGAGATGGTTAAGTAACAGGCCCTTACTTCCCAAAGGGAGGTCAGGGGTTCGACCCTCCATGGAGATATGTGTGTGAGTACCAATTTAGGGAAAAACAGATGGTTAAGTACCACAAATTGGAGATACAATTTAAAATAAAAAATAAAAAATGGTTAAGATGGTTTGGACAATGCGCAAAGAAGACCTTTAAGTTCGCTAGTTAGGAAGAGTGACATAGTCACATTGAGGGTAATACTAGGGAAAGAGAAAGACCAAAGTTAACGTGGGTAGAGTTAGTAAGGAAGAATAAGATAGCATGTGGTTTGACCGAAGCTATGGATTTAGATAGAGCAAAATGGAAACATAGGATTCATGTAACTGACCCCAAGTACTTGCCTGGTAGTTGTTGTAGTAGTTGTATTGCTGTTTATAGTACATTTCAAACTTCTGTAATATTAGATCATCATGTGTTGATATTTTCACTGACCTAGCAATTCAACTTTTTCTTGTATTGCTATTTTTTTTAGCTCGATATATAAATATTAGAGGAGATATGGTATTTAATAGAAAAGAGTGGGAAAAAGAATATGTGGCCAGCCCCATCTATATGGGAAAAGCTAAGGATGATCATGATGATAATGTTTGATGTATACGTGTGTGGACTACAACTCCAGTTGTTTCAAGAATCATATTGGAATAATGAAATGCACCACCTTCTAAGAGAATTATATATCATGTTATTGTAAAATTTTTGATCCTATGTTCCTTTCATTATAACAACAGTCAAATTCCTAGAAATATTTCCTAAAATTGTTTTGCTTAATACTAAATTGATTCTAAATAATGGTCTCTACTAAAACTTTTGTTGTGTTGATAGCCATGGGGTCTGTTCTATTTTTGTTAATTCACAAGGTCAGATTGATCTAGTTAATGGTGTCAATGTCTTTATCAAGCTTGTATAGTAACAATTTAAATATGTTGACGCAGAATGAAGAGGATATTTGAGAATTTAAAGCTAAAGAATGGATGTAATAAAAAAATGTATAAAATTCGCTGACCACCCACCGGTTGCCAGCCTTCTCTTCTGACCACCCGATATGCCTCGTCTCATGACATCACCTACAAGTGTATCAGCACAAATATCCAGTCCAAGGATCTGAGCAGCAATAAATATGGTATCAAAATGGAGAACAGATTAAAAGCAATGGTTCTTGCACAATTTGCTGGTATCACTACATCAGAACGCTTCATCCCATTTTATACAGGATTCTGTATTTCCGGAAATCCTTCAAGTTACCTTCAGAGTGTAATCAGTTTGAAGGTTTTTCTCTAGCCCACTGATTGATATCGCCTGTAAAGGAGAAAACATAGTGTATTTTTCCTCAGACACTGCCCACTTACATGGCAATGATATATATGTTCCTATACATTATTAGCTTAAAAAAAAAAACTTCTGTTTCTTGAAAAAAGATATATATGAACAAATCATATTTACCTTCATGTATGTATCTATGTCTGGATCAGGAATAATTCCTGCATGCTTCTCCCTTTGACTGATTTCCACCATGATTCCTTTACAGAGAGACCGAGAAGTTAGCTAATAGACATCTGTGATATCAAGCTGCATTGCCTATGGCAAATCGGAGATTGTTTCAGAGGCCAAGAAAAGAGTACCTACCTGTCCTGCTTTCGACACCTTGGCAACGAGCAGAGAAATCAATTGTTTCCCGTACTGTCATCTCAGGAATAAGCAGGTCATATTGGCTTATGTAAGCTGTTGTTTTCTGAGTCGTAAGATTATTATCCGGCCTGCATCCATTGTAAGAAATTTCACCAGTGACCTGAACAGAAATCGACTCTGGTTGGTCACTGATCAGAACTTCAAAAGACTTCCCATTAAGTTGTCTAGCAATTAATGTCATGACAGTTTGTCTGCCCCTCTGTGTTTACAGATTCAAAAGTATGCATGTTGTATAGTTGTGATTGCTAGCCAGAGATCTTCCTGTTCTCATGGGTAATCTTTGTTACAAATGTGGTTCACACTGTACTAGGGATGTTAAGTGCCTTGTTTGTTTTGCCAACTATAACACACTTAATTTGAATCCTTAAGCATTAACAAGTGAGAAGAACATATATATGTATGTTTGAACAAATATTAGAGAGGAGGGGAGGACCTTCAGAGATTTGTCTAGTTTTCCTGCAAGGGCCTTTAGTAAAGTGGTTTTCCCACACCCTGGAGGGCCAAGCAACAGGGTCATCCTACTATAAAACGTCAGTGAGAAACCATTTACTTGTGTAACCGGAAGTTGGGAACACATAAACAGAAACAACATTGTTAAGTATGAATTATTCTTTATGTGTATGTCTGATGCATGTGTATGAATTTGTGCATATACGGTGATTTTACCACCTTGAAGGTTTGATTATCCCACTGGCTCCTTTTGTGATACTAATTTTTGCTTCCTCTGGTTTGCAGAAAGGAACTTTGACAAAGATCTGCCCATAATCATACAGATGAGAAGCTTCGACATACGAAAGGTAAAGTAAAGCAAGTTCATTTTCAACACTGCCATGGTAAGTTCTAGCAAGAAAAGTTCAAGCCAGTCCAGTCCACTCACAGAAAAGATGCTCTTCAGAGAGTTCCATAAAGTGGGAAGAGGCTTGCCATGTACCACTTGGCATTGTGCTTCCACACACAGGTTCATGAATCTGACCTCCACGGTAGGCAATTTCACACCAACCCTACAACAAAAATCTATTTGTTCAAGCAATGACATTTCATAAATCTAGGTTTGACATTTTAATAATAATTTCCGTGTCACCCCTTGTCCACAAAAATCTTCTCTGTTAGAACTTAGAAATGGCTGGGAAATATAGGAATGATTTCTGTTTTTCTACAAATTCATTTGAAAAGCATTGGGTGGTGACCAATGTCGTTGTGCAAACCATGGCATTCATATCTATAAGATTAACCTAGCAATCTTTTGCTAGATTCAGAATGTGATTTTACTTTTATTAGCCAGCAACTAACTTCCCTCAGAAAATGCTAACGAACCAAAGCTTGTAGTTTTGTAGGTGTTTAGTGTACAACTTTGAAGTTGTGTATAGAATCACTGGACTGGTTATATAATTTGAACATTGGCTTAGATTAAAATTGCATGGACTTTTTCCCCAAAGAACATACTGCGGTTATGTCTGCATAATGTATTCTTCATATATAATGCATCCTGTTCTAGATTTTGAAGGGTTAAGTTCAAACGTTATTCGTGATCTTTTTTAATCGAGTGTGTTGGAAGGATGGACATTTCATATTGTTTTAGAAGAAGTGGTTGTCTTTGTTGGATTCGGAAGAACATCATGTTGGGCAGTTCAAGCTTTTGTTGCTGGTTAAATTAGATGACTCACTCCTGTTGGGGTGATTTTGAGATCTTCATGATAGGGTTTAAAGTTAAGTTTCTTTCACTGGTTTTGCGTCATACATGAAGATATATAGAATTAAGATTCATGTAGTCGACCCAAATAATTGGGAAAAAATGTTTGATTGTTTAGCACTCTTTCTATCCATGCACCCAAAGTCACATGAAGCTTCCTGTACAATTATTTAACTAACTGTGCATTTGGCAGCAAGACAATGTTTTACAAGAGAATACTAAAATGCAATAAATAAATTAATATTAAAATAATAATAATAATAATAATAAAACAGAGCAAATATCTATGTATTGATGTTGGACTCATAAGAAAGGCAGCTCCGACAGAAACTTACCAATGTTTCATAACATAGTCCAAACCCTCTTTCTTGGTGAATACAGCCAAGTAAATTATTTTTTTGGGACTGGGGTTTCATCGATAACACAGCCAAGTCAACCTCAAAAAGTCGAACTACAGGATACTATGCTGTATAATATAAAGATTAATTTAATTAAAAACAACCCAAATCATGTGCATATGACTAAATTATTATAAACGAGATACTCCATGATGCGGTGGTTGTGATGACGTCAGATATATTGTCGGTAGGGTGTAAGCTTGACCGGTATGTCAGAACATTGTGTTTTTTATATTTATGAAATGTACAAGTTAGGATGGTCACGTATCGAATTAAATATTAATTTTAATTCGATCCACTTTTAACGGATTAAAGAAAATGAATCTGTCACTGTGAAATAATGAATCGAATCAGATTCGTGAAATGACAGATTGAATCCATGGATTACGGGTTTTTTTTTTTTTTTTTTTTAAATTGTCTAATATTATTTATTTTAACCATAGTCTAGTAGATAAAATTTAATTTATAATATTAATTAATATATTTAAATGATAATTGACTAATAACATTCTTAGAATCCATTAAATGATCATCAACTAACACGATCAGACTCACAAATCATATTAGATTTTAATAGTCTAATCCGTAATACGATCCGTGAGTTACAAATTCAATTTTTTTGAATCTATCATTGATCCGTATGTGTAATAATTCGATCCGATTTGGACGGATGGATCGAATTTGCGGATTCACATATTATTTATCCACCCCCTAATAAAAGTTGTCCTATTTATTGATATAACAATGTACATCAAAATATAGCTTAATAATTAAGAGAGTACTAAAAATTTATAATTTAGTAATATTTTCTCATCTTAACTTTTTGAAGTGAATGTTGACGAGTGTGTGTTATTTGTGCCACCATCTCACCTTTGGCTTCGAATCTACAGCTGGATTGGTATTATTTTCAATTATTTGAGATTCATATAGTTGTTAAAAGTCCAAATTTATCTTGTGATTAAATCTATTACCCACTTGCGGCAAATATATAATAATAATATTGCAATCAAAGAGATTAACCGTACATAGCAAACATCTTCAATATTCTTTACTTGACCCTGTATCTTAGTCGATCAATTTGTCGCACTTGGGACTTAACCTCTCTGGGAGGAAGGGGTTATACTATTTCAAGTACACATATATAACTAAACACACAAATATATATATATATATATATATATATATATATATATATATACACACACACAGATATTTTCCAATTGTTAGTGTTGTCAATAATAATTAATTATTAATTAGGAACTACCAAACCGATATTTTTCTAATGACACAAATAATGTATCATGTGTTTTTTTTTTTTTTTTCTTTGACAAAAAATTCATGCACCGATTTGTTGATAAACTCAAACTCTCACCTTTCAATTTCATTCAGAATGGTGGAGGGAATAATAGGCTACAGCAAGTGTCCAGCAGAGTTTCGGGATGTTGGAGAAATCCCAAATTATTGTATTGAGGAGATTTTTCTACCTTAGAAAAACATATATTTTCATATTTTTACTTTTATTTTTTTCTTGGGGCTGGTATAAAATGACTTTAGAATGTTGTATCCCTAAGTCATTTTTGTTGAAATGGTGAAAAATATTTTATAGGTAAATTTTTTTACTCAATTTTATGTGTAATCAAGCATCGAAAAATGGAAAAAATATTTTACATAGAAAGAAACTAGCCTATAATAATAATAATAAATTACTTTGATCATTTAAGTAATTTTATACTGGGCCAATTATCATTGAATATGCAAGCAATAGTTTTAGAAATGTGTAAAAAAAAAATTAACTTTTTACTTACATATCTAATTGTGATTGGCCAATGCCAATAATTCATACATTTAAAATTTTCTCCCTTTTTTTTTTTTTTTTATTCGATTTTTCTTTCATTCATCAAGATGGTGATGTCAAACCAGGGGTGAAAATCACCTCTAGTGATATAGTGTGTTATTTCCTCCATTTTGAAAAGAGTGTTCAGAAATGGCCACGTTAGTTATGTTTGGGATGCACAGTAGGAAAATATTGGAATGCACTCTAGAAAAAAGTTGGGATGTACTTTCACTCACAAAAATAAAGGAAATGAATTACTGTGCAAATGGAGAGGATCCTTATTCGTCAAACAAGTGGCAAGCCAGTACTTGGGTGACAAACCAATCCTAAAAGGCCACTTATATATATATATATATATATATATATATATATATTGGGCTTAAAACATCAAAATATAACTTAAAAGGGCGAAGTACCCTATTTGTCCTATTCTTTAGTCATATTATTGTTTTGTACGTGGTTACTTGCATGTCAAGTTATCATCAATCAATAGATCCAATGCACACCAAAGTGTTGTATGTGTAAGCGACAAAAAATTCAAAACTTTAAATCGGAGGTTAACAATTTCCAGTGCCTCTAAGACATGCATTGAGTTCTATTGTTGGGATGACACAATCCTGTTTCATACTTGCACAATTTCAGCCAAGAAACTAACTAGTATATTTGTAGTGTATCAAACCATGCAGGCCTACTCTCCCTCTCTCTCTCTCTCTCTCTCTCTCTCTCACACACACACACACACACACACATATATATATTCTCTCTCTCTCTCACACACACAGACATATATATTCTATAGTGTCACATTTGCATGGAAGGACGGATTCAGGGGTGGGTTCATGTGGGCTTAAACTCACCCCAAAACATTTTTATTTAAGTACACTCCTTTGATAATTTTTCTTGGTATAAAGATTAACAAGAAAAGAAGTCACAAACTGGAGCAAATACTGAAAAGTGTTCACTATTTTTTTTTATTTTTCACGAGTTCGTTCACAAACATTTGTTCATCAACTGAGTGCTATTATTCCAAAAAAAAGCTGAACACAAGTCATTCATAAATATTTGATTCCACATTTAGTTGAATATTATGTCATAAGATACAGAAACTTACTTGTCCATGCGTTCTCTCATCTTAAGCAACAATCGACCATTATCTACTTCAACGTGGTTGATGAGTTTCTCCATGAACACTTGTCTCTGAAGTGGGCAAAGCTTAGTAACATCTTTCACTGTCTTGCCTTGTTTGCCGTTGATACTGTTTTCGCCATCATCATCATCAAATAGAGACATTCTAAGCCGTCTGATCGTGGGTAGTCTCTCAATGGCAGCCCATTGTAGCTCAACCTCATCATCATCTCTTTCACTTGATGAAAATCTAGCTGAGCTAGATATCTGAAGAAGAGATGAAGACCTTGCCATTTCTACCTCCATGTTTTAAGGCCTCTTTGCTATACTAAACTTATTTCTTAAAATTATATGAAGACTTGATCGATTGTCTTCTTATATAAACAACACCCATGTATATTTAGATAAATATATACATATTATATATATATATATATAGAGAGAGAGGGTCATAAGATTCGTTAGGAGTGCATTAAAGAAGATTGATTTTAAATTTATAAACAGACAAGTTGCAATTCCCGAAGTTTTTCATGCATATTAATACAATAATGCCACCATATATATTTGGTTGTTATGAAATATATCAGACATAGACATATGATCAGCCAAAACTCTCTGTGCCGGTGTTATAGAAACCTTACAACAAAATGAAATTTCTTACAATTAATTAATTAATTAATTATACTGTTACTACTATTATATTAGTGTTAGGGAAGTGATAGTCAAACCTATTGTTGTTGGAGATTTGAGAAGTTTTTTGAACTTCTTTATTGTACAAGTTTTCTATTGGGCCTATTTAATTTTATGGGTTAATTAATTGCACTAACACCTTGCGCGCAGTCCCATCACCCCCCTCAGATTTGAAAAGTTTACAAACACGCTCCTTTAGGCTATTGTAGTATTAAAACATTATCAAAATGCCCCCACTCATGAAATAACTCATTTAACCTTTCTAACTAATGCCATTTAACTTCGAAACCAACCACCACCACAACACCTAGACACTACCACCACCATCCCAAATAGAAGACCCATTCATATACATGGCCAAATTATTTAATTAGCCCAATCCAGATGTTTAAATGAAAAGATAATTATTCCTAATAAAATATATTTGGAATAATTATTTTTTAAGGATAATTATCATAATATAACCGCCCCGGCCCAGTTATGATTTTATCCTTATCAGAAGAGGACACGTTTCATCATCCAATGGATACAAGAAGCCTATAAATAGTGGCTTGGAGGAAAGAGGAAGGCACATAAATTCAGAATTCAGAAATCCAGAATTCCAGAGAGAAATACAGAAACTCTGCCAATACTCATCCCCAATATCCAAACCCAAAAGCGAAGCACACTAAGCACATTAAATCGTGCCGTTCTTCATCAAATTTTACGGTGATCAACAACAAGCACATCAAATCGTGCCGTTCTTCATCCAAATTCCATGGTGATTCAAGATTAAGCTCATTCAGCCGTTGGATCCAACCAACGAAAAGGAGATCGAATCAAAGGGCCTTATTCTTTTGTAAAGAATATTACAGATGATTGTACTCTAATTTTTCTAATTTAATAAAATATTATTTTTGCTCCATATTTTGTTCTTATTTGTAAACTACAAAATTTGTGTGTACAAATCTCTGGCACACCCAGTGAGACATCCTTTGCCTCTCAATTTCTTTCTCGTACCATCAAGTTTCTTCATTATCAGATTATATGGCTCCCCTTGAAACTCAGACAAATAAGAAAGTCCAAAAGAACATCGCTATTGCAAAGGTTAACGCCAAAGCCACCATGAAAAATGGCACGAAGGCCAAATCAAGTGATGGAAGTACCTTGGCGAGCCCTGTGACACGTAGCAAGTCCCAGGCAATCGCGTTATCCAAACATTAGCAAGACTTGGTGAAAACCAATCCTGCAAAGCTGGCGAACGTGAAAACTCAACATGTCTAGAAACCTGACGTTGTTTTAGAGGAGATTCCGCCACCAGATTCACCTTATTCCATCCATGATGCTCACTCTAGTGTCAGTTCACCCCCAGATCTCAAGGCCTATCATACTCAGATATAGTCGCTGCTATGATGACTGGAACTGCCACGGTGGAGGAACAATTAACAACTATGGCTCGTTCCATTGAGAACCTCACAAAGACTTTTGAAGAAAAGGACTTGCAAATCGCTACACTGATGAACAAATTGGAGGTTCAGACCTTTGGTGAATCACCAGTACCGTCTGGGAATCCTACAGCTTCCACAGCGGTGCCATCTAGGAATCCCACATCTTCCACAGCAGTGCCATCTGGGAATCTTGCAACTTCTACACCACCACCGTCTAGGAATCCTAATTCTATGGCACAAGGTACTCGTATAGAGGACCCCAAACAGACATCGGTGATAGAACAAGCGGCTAGTCAAACCAATCATGCTTCTTCAGTCTCTTCATTATTTGTCGAACAATAGCAAGATATGATAACGAATATAATTCGAGCCCAATACGGAGGAGTCTCATAGAGCACTTTCATGTACTCAAAGCCCTATACAAAGAGAATCGACAGTATGAGGATGCATGTCGGATACCAACCTCTGAAGATTCAGCAATTTGACAGAAAGGGCAACCCTAAGTAACACATTGCCTATTTTGTCAAGACTTGCAACAATGCCGGAACTAATAGGGACTTACTAGTTAAACAGTTTGTTCACTCCCTTAAAGGAAACGCGTTCGAGTGGTACACCGACCTAAAGTCAGAATCAATTGATAGTTGGGACCAAATAGAATGAGAATTCTTAAACATGTTCTATAGCACTCGTCGTACTGTTAGTGTAATAGAATTGACTAGCACGAAGCAATGGAAGGATGAACCTGTAATTGACTACATTAATCGGTGGCGATCACTTAGTCTTGATTGCAAGGACCGATTGTCAAAAATCTCTACTGTAGAAATGTGTATACAGGGAATGCATTGGGGCCTTCTTTACATTCTCCAAAGCATAAAACCTCGCACATTTGAAGAATTGGCTACACGTGTCCATGACATAGAGATTAGTATAAAATCCCATGACGACAAAGGTCTGGTAACCATAGAACCACGCAAAGACAAGAAGGACTGGAAGAAGGGCGACAAGTTATCAAAAATCGCTGCTAAAGATTCCATGGCTATCTTAATTACCCCAATCAAGATATCAGTTAAAGATAACAAGAAGGATAACAAAAAGCCTCGCCAGTTTCAAGAGAGGGAAAGACAGCGTCCTATGCTAAAGGAATTAGAGAAGAAAGAATATCCATTCCCCGATTTCGATGTTCCTGTCATATTGGAATGCTTACTTAAAAGTAAAATTATTGAACTCCCTGAATGCAAACGCCTTCAAGAGATGGGACGTGTTAATGACCCAAAATACTGCAAATATCATCATATTGTCAGTCATCCAATTGAAAAGTGTTTTATCTTCAAGGAGGTGGTGACGAATCTGGCAAAACAAGGAAAAATGTTGTTGGACACAGACGAAGTTGTAACTTCAAATCATACTACTGTTACTTTGACAACCTTTGTCGTGGGGAGCGTTCGTTCTCAACCTTCAAATTCTGAGATATATTGCAGAATCATCCAGTTTGGCTCATCGGAACCAATCCCCATCTATGTTGGCCAAGGAAATATATTTGACGTTTCATCAATTAGAAGAATCTTTCCTCAGAATGATGAAGAAGGATGGACTTCGGTAACAAGAAAGAAACTACGAAAGCAACGAGCTGACATTTTTCAAACTAATTATTCTGACAGGGGGCAAAGGAAGAAGAAACCTCAATATCGCCATAAACAGTATGGCCATAATATAAAATGGGTCAAGAAGACATAGTAATCCAAACATGCCTCTATGAGCAAAGGGATCCAGAAGTCCATTATTTTGCAAGAGTTCTTTCCAAAAGGATATATAGATGACGAAGTTGTGACAGCTTACATGGTTTTAACTGAGAAAATGAGCCCTAATGATGAGAATAACAAGGATCAAAATGAAGCCCAGACTATAGAAAATCATGCAAAGGATGCAACCATCATTGAAAAGTCCGATGATGATGAAGTAGTCAGAGGTATGCTTGATTCATATTATGCACCAATTGTTTTCACTGACAAGGATCTTCAGTTGGGTTCGAAGCTGCATAATTGTCCTCTTTTCATTTTTGGTTACATAAAAGAACAAAAAGTTACTCGAATTCTTGTTGATGGTGGATTAGCGGTGAATCTCATGCCAAAATATACGATGAAAAATCTCAGCATCACAGTCGACGAGTATCTCGTAGCCGTCTTATTATTCAAGGTTTTAACCAAGGAGGACAGAGGGTTATTGTTATGATTCGGGTAAAGCTAACTATTGCCTTAGATACATAGTAATGACGTCATTCCATCGAATCTTCATCAATGTTTCAAATTCTACAATAATGGCGTATAAACGATTGTGGAGTACCATAAACCATTTACAGAAGCAGAATCTCATTTTACCGATGCCAAGTTCTATATCGATCCTGATACACCTTCGGAAGTGTCCATCCCAAGCCATCTGTTTACACAAGAGGTTTAATCTACAAAAATAAAAGAAGCATTAACTGATCCATTAAGGGTCCGTTTGGATGGCGATAACGTTATATGTTATGGTTTGGTATGATATGTAAATAACTGTTTTGGTATTGGTATATTTTTAGTAGAAATCGGATCCATGTTTGGTAACGATTATTTTGTTTTTGATAATTGTATATCAGAAACATGATAACGCGTTTGGTATTGTCATGCGTTTTAAGGAATCCGGAAACAAAACATGTTTGGGACTAGGTGTTTTGTTATCAAAAATTCTGAATCAATAACAGAATACCTGTTTGGTAAAGACTGTTTTGTTTCTGTTTTGAAAAATTATATATATGAATACAATTATAAGTTTATATGTAAATAGTCCATTTTTCTTTATGATTTGAGATAATTTGTTAAAATTAAAAAAAAAAAATATTCTGCATTAGAGTTGGGAAAAAAAATTATGAATAAATTTACATGTATAGTGATAACCAAACTACAAATCTAAAACTTTGTAATAATGAATAAATCTGTATAAACATGATTAATGGCAACCAAATTACAAATCTAACTTTGTAATAATGTTTCAATGAGAGCAGATCTTTGCACTCCATTTATCTTTTTC